ACGGTAAAGTAGAGGGTGATTTTATTCAAAAATGTAGCTTGAAATGTACGTTACTCTTTCTTCAATGTCCAAAAAGATATGTAAAAAAAAAAGTCATTAAAATCACAATTGGAATATCTCATCTTAACACCAGCACATCCTACCAACTCTGTCAGCAACATATTTTCTCGGCATAGAACGTGCGTTTGATTTTCCTTTCCAAAAACAAAGGTTACTTTTTGATCCAGATGTATAAAAACATTTTTTTAAATATATGCTTTAAATTCTTCTCTCTGTTTTGTTTAGAGCCATCAGTTTGGAATCTTGTCATTTTCTATAGATACTGGAACTTATCATGTACATGTAGGAAAATTCTATTTTGTAGTTACTGTCTTTTTTAACGTATATCCATGCCGATGTTAGAAAACTACGTTTTGTAACTACATTTCAATATATACTTTTGTTTGATGAAAAGCTTAAAATTCATCTAAAAATTCATAGTTTTGTTTCAGTTTATTCCAAAAAAGATTCTCTACGTAATCACATTGTGTTATATGTCAATCACTACTATAAAGACACGATTGTCTCAGAATATGAGTAGGTAACGTACATTTCAAGCTTGTAATAATATGTAAATTAGTAATAAGAAAATATTGAAAAAAAGCAATTATTGACTTTAAAATCATTTCAATGAAACGTTCTAACGCAGTAATATAAGAAATCATTGTAACAAACGTGATTTGTCATCAACTACATGAATGTCACGTTCATTTCACATTTATTGAGTCAACCTCAGTTCATTACCATTCGTTTGTGCTGTTTCCAAATTGAATTGGTCCCTAGTTACTTCTACCTGTGTGCAAGGGTACAGACAAAAAAAAAATAAGAGTCAAATTTTGCTATGATCTAACAAATGCTCGTGTTTGGCCATTGAAACTTAACAAAATCTATTCCGAATATATCCATCGACAGTCTTGTTAACAATTTCATTTAGTATGTTGCAACATCGTTTGTCAAAACACAAACATACGTACTTTTCAGCAGATCTGGAAAAATATAACCCAAAATGCAATGATTCAAACAAAACTGAGTATTGTGTGCCTTTCAGTATTTGGAATGTACTCTTGTGTACTGGGTTTATTAAGATTGTTTCTTTTTCTTCTTTTTTTTTTTTTTGTTTTTTTTTACCAATATAATATGTATACCTTGTTTAAAATTATCAACAACAATTAAATTAATATTGAACAAAAGTCGCATATTAAAAGTAAACAAACTGCAAAAAGGTTGCCAAAGATGAATTTAAGACTTTAGAAATAAATTTTCTAGCATGTGGTAACAGTACCACATTTACGAGGATTGGGGATGCATTTAGATGGATTTATGTGGTCAGTTGTCAAATGGATTGTAACGATAATTTTGTTTCGCTCGTATAAACGCAATTCATTGACTAAATTTTAAAAAATATGTCATTTAGAAATACGCAAAATGTACGTTACCATACGTAACGTACATTTCAAATATAAAAATCAATTCTCTTCCACAAGCGTACAGACGCGCAATATATTGATACTATTTGAACTTGCATATCATAAGAAATGCATTATACAGGTTTCTTATTCAGAAATATATACCAATCAAAATTATATTACATATAATTGACCTTTTTTTTTTAAGCAGAAACGTTTCTTTTCATTAATTTTGGGATTTAGCCGACCTCCAACCTTTGAAACTTTCCTTTGTGCAACATTCGAGTGTGTGAAAGGAAATACATGAAAATTCTAGTTCATGAATCCGAATGCATTACATTTCAGTCACGTACATTTCAAATGATCGCTTTTCATGTAAAAAATAATTTTTAATCTTTAAGCAAAACGTCTTTGCCAGTTTACAGGATATTGCTTAAGAGTTGTCTCATATTTTCTACTTAATATATATTCTTAATGGAATAATATAGGTAACTTACATTTCTTTCTTATCTCTACGATTGAAAATGTCTTTCATTCCGTAAACATATTTATAAAAGTTGGTCAAATTGTTCAATTTCATATTACATTATCTAAGTAGGAGTAATTAATCCTTTGAAATTTCAAATTTAGCCCATCAATAAATAAAGGATAACAAAACTATCAGGTGTATAATCTTTGTGTTTGCTTGTAATGTGGTTGAAATAGAATTAAGCGACAGGGACATTGCACAATAAAAATTATTTATTATCACAAAGAAAATGTATTTATTGTTATGAAAAGAAATATATATGATACAAGGTTTAACTTATCAGAAACTATGTAATACACAGAGGGGATCAGCATAATATTTGCCTCGGCGACAGTAACGTACATTTCAAATAGGCTACTATATTTGAATTTGGAAACCCTTAAATACCCTTTCAGATCGATAATTATATGAATTCTTATTCATTGTTATATGACTATTTATAATGTTGATTTAAAAATTACATCAGTGGTATTTCTTCTGAAAAAACGAGGCGACATTATTTGAGCCCTTATATTGAGAATGGGTGTATAGTGAAAATATAAATAATTGATAGCTATGAAAAAATAAATCAAGCGTGTAGCTGAAACAGAAAATCGTTTGATCATAGTTAAAATCAAAGCCGCTTCATCGTCATAAACTATCGGAAAACATATATTTTTAGGTCACCTTAGTAAACTCAGGTGACCTATTGCTATCTGTTTTCGTCCGTCGTCGTGCGTCGTGCGTTGTGCGTTAACATTTGAACATTTTCAGCTTCTTCTCTGCAACCACTGAACCAATTTCAACCAAATTTGGCACAAAGCATCTATGGGTGAAGGGGAACAAAAATTGTGAATTTCATGATCCCTGCCCCCCTGGGGCCTGAGGGGTGGGGCCAAAACCACTAAAATTAATGCAATCTTAGAAAATCTTCTTCTTTACTCCTGGACATCAAGCAGTCAAACTGTTTGCATGATTGTAATAAGCAATGAGTCCTCTACCAAAGTTGTGAAATTCATGGCCCTGGGGTCAGGGGTTCTAGTGCTAGGGCGGGGCTAAATAATTAGGTAGTGAAATGCATTAATTCTTTGAAAATCTTCTCTGTCCCTGGGTATTAAATAACCTCACTAAGAACATTGTTATGATGAGCAAGGATTCCTCTTACAAACTGTGAATTTTATAGCCCCAGGGTCAGGGGTACTGGTGTTAGGGAGGGGCTCTATTGATTATATAGTGAAAATGCATTAATTCTTTGAAAATCCTCTTCTCTGCTTCTGGGTTTAGAATAAACTAAGTACATAGTTATGATCAGCAAGAGTGCCTCTATCAAAATTGTGAATTTTATGGCCCCAGGGTCAGGGGTTCTGGTGTTAGGGCGGGGCTCTATTGATTATATAGTGAAAATACATGAATTCTTTGAAAATCTTCTTCTCTGCTCCTGGGTATTAAATAAACTAACTAAGTGCATAGTTATGATGAGCAAGAGTGCCTCTACCAAAATTGTGAAATTCATGGCCCCAGGATCAGGGGTTCTGGTGTTAGGGCGGGGCTCTTTTGATTATATAGTGAAAATACATGAATTCTTTGAAAATCTTCTTCTCTGCTCCTGGGTATTAAATAAACTAACTAAGTGCATAGTTATGATGATCAAGAGTGCCTCTACCAAAATTGTGAATTTTATGGCCCTGGGGTCAGGTGTTCTGGTGTTAGGGCGGGGCTATATAGATTATATAGTGAAAATACATGGATTCTTTGAAAATCTTCTTCTCTGTTCCTGGGTATTAAATAAACAAACTTAGTACATAGTTATGATGAGCAAGAGTGCCTCTACCAAAATTGTGAATTTTATGGCCCCAGGGTCAGGGGTTCTGGTGTTATGGCGGGGCTCTATTGATTATATAGTGAAAATACATGAATTCTTTGAAAATCTTCTTCTCTGCTCCTAGGAATTAAATAAACTAACTAAGTACATAGTTATGATGAGCAGGAATGCTTCTTCCGAAATTGTATATTTTATAGCCCCAGGGTCAGGGGTTCTGGTGTCAGGGAGGGGCTCTATTGATTATATAGTGATAATACATAAATCTTTGAAAATTTTCTTCTCTTCTCCAGGGTATTAAGCAGATGAACTACCTATATAGTTATGATGGACAAGGGCCCTAATTTTCCAGAATTGTGAATTTCAAGGCCCCAGGGTCAGGGGTACCATAGAAGAGTGGGGGGGGGGCTCTACTAATATACTGAAAATGAATGAATGGTTTGAAATCTGCTCCTTGGTATTAATCAAATATCAAGGCCTAAGGGTCTGGGGTTCATGTGTGGTAGGGGCACTACTGATTATTGCTGAATATTACTGATTAGTTGAAATGCATTTTTTGCTCCCCTACCCTGGGTATGGGCATTAAGTAAACAAACTAAGCAACTGCTAAGTGTATTGTTATGATGATCAATGGTGCCTCTTTCAAAATTGTGAATGCCATAGCATCTGGCTTAAAACATGAATCAAATTCAATCACTGGAAAGTTGTTGCATAATGCTCAGGTGACCGATAAGGCCCATGGGCCTCTTGTTTAAGTTACATGATAAATATTTGATGACTAGACAATATCTTTCATAGGGTTTTCGAAATTATTCCATTCTATATATTAAGTTAATTAGAAATCAGATTTGTTAACTTCAAAGCAAGAAATTTAATCTAAGAAAGAAATTGTTAGAAATTGGGAATATACATAATTTATGTACATGCGCTTGTAAAGGGCTTCAACACAGTGTAGCATTGCAAGCCAAGAATGTCAAACTACGGTAACTTACCTCTTATTTCTTTGTTAACTATTGTTGGAATTTTCAGTACATGTGTATGTGTTTTATCCTCGAAATCAGAATTTACATACAGAAAGCGATTTGATTATACCGAAGACGAGGCTCAAACCATAAAAGAGACTTTATTTAATGTAATGTGTGCAGCTGTATGCAGTCGAACTGTAAACTGCATTGCGTTTCTGTTCAACATTAAATCAAAGCAATGTCTCATGTTATATGCTTTGCAAATGGTCGGATCCTCCGAAATCTCAGAGGAGAGATATTGGTCTTACTTCGAAATGTTCGTTGGTAAGTAGTCATTATATAACATTATCTTTAGGTTTATATTTCAAAGAAAACATATTTTGGGGGTCTAATCAGGGACGTAGCAACAGGAGGGACCAGGGGGGCCTAGCCCCCCACTTTTTTGGCCAGCAATACTTTTACTATTGAAAATGTTCATTGAAAGGCTGGTTGCCTCCCCCCCCCACTTTATATTAAAGTAAAGTAATATGAAGGAAATATAGTATTGTAAGCTAAAAAATGGATATTGAAATAGGATTTATGACTTTGGGCAATTTTCCGGTTTTTTTTTCTTTTGGTTGTCAACTGTTTCAGGTGGGTCAAAAAAAATTCTGTGGCTGCCCCCCCCCCCCACTTTCAAAATCGATGCTACTTGCCTGCTAATTATGAACTCAGTATCTTAAATTATCAAGAAAAACTATAACTAATGCGATTTAAATGTTTTGGATTGAAAAAAAAAGTATCCAAGGACTTTGATTTGATGTTATCCGGAGAATGCAATCTACCTTGTCCCACCTTTACACAGATAAACTTGGTTATAAAAAAGTTATTCGGATTAAGATTTTTTTCTGCCTTAGAATTTAAATTCTTTCTATGTTTTAACGCATAGAAAACAAAATCCATGAATTTTATCCTCTTTGCCTTGATATAATGTGTTATTATAAACTTAGAAACACCTTTAACTGTTTGACGGTGGTTAATTTTGAAATTTGTCACAATGTCTGAAATTAGGCTAAAAAATCATTTGTTTTTTGCAATCACTTTCTAAATTTTGTTTTCAAAATCAATTATAGCTTTTCAGTTCATAAACTAAGGTTAGGGAAAAAAGTTAATAAACTTTTTGGTTTCTCTTTTACTTTTCGTCAAAATACTGTAAATGAATCTTGGTTGAAGAGAATTTTATTTTTGCTCATTCTTTATTTCGCACTTCTCCTCGCAAAAATTTCATCATTCTGTGTATTTTTATTAAAAAGGACCAAAACAACTAATCACAAGAATTTGTGAAATTTTTTCATGCTGTTAAATCCCATAAATATCATAATGTTTGTGATTTTCTTTTGATCCTGATAATTCCACAGGTTGTCCTGCGGGTTGGGAAGAATATGCAATGAATTGTTACGGATTCTTTAAAGATAAAAAAGACTGGAACACGGCAAAGGTAAACATTACACGCAAAAATATTATTGCGTTTAAACGCAACAATTTTTTTGCATTTCAACCGCAATACTATTTGCATTTAAACGCAATAATCTTTGTATTAAAAAGCAACCATTTCTATTGATCTTTGAAGAGTGCAATGGACCCAAGCATACTGATACTTTTTAGCTCACCTGAGCCGAAGGCTCAATTGAACTTTTATGATCAAAATTTCTCCGTCGTCTGTCGTTGTTGTCTTTGTCGTTGGCGTTGTCGTCGTCGTAATCTTTTCACATTTTCATCTTCTTCTCAAGAACCACTGGGCCAATTTCAACCAAAGTTGCCACAAAGTATCCTTGGGTGAAGGGAATTTAAGTTTGTTCAAAGAAAGGACCAAGCCCTCTTCCAACGGGAGATAATAATGAATAAATGAAAAATTAATGGCATCATTTAAAAATCTTCTTCTCCAGAACCACTGTGCCAGGAAAGATGAAACTCATGTGAAAGCATCCTCGGGTAGTGTAGATTCAAGTTTGTTCAAATCATGACCCCCGGGGGTAGGGTGGGGCCACAATGGTCGATCAAATGTTATAGAAATACATGTATATAGGAAAATTCTTTAAAAAATCTTCTTCTCAAGAACCACTCTGCCAGGAAAGATGAAACTTATATGAAAGGATCTTCAGGTAGTGTAGATTCAAGTTTGTTCAAATCATGACCCCCGGGGATAGGACGGGGCCACAATGGCCGCTCAAAGTTTAGCATAGAAATATATAGGTAAATTCTTTAAAAATCTTATCAAGAACCTCTCTGCCAGGAAAAATGAAACTTATAGGGAAGCATCCTCAGGCAGTGTAGATTCAAGTTTGTTCAAATCAGGACCCTTGGGGATAGGGTGGGCCACAATGGCCGATCAGAGTTTAACATAGAAATACATGTATATATGAAAATTCGATAAAAATCTTCTCTCTCAAGAACCACTCTGCCAGGAAAGATGAAACTTATATAAAAGCATCCTCAATTAGTGTAGATTCAAGTTTGTTCAAATCATGACCCCCGGGGGTAGGGCGGGGCCACAATGACTGATCAGGATAAGGATTGGTTGGGACCACTTTTGGGTTTTAACTTTTCAATGATATGATTTCTGCTTTTTTCGAAGTTACAGTGCTCAGGTGAGCGATGTGGCCCATGGGTCTCTTGTTTCTTCTTTCTGTCTTGTACAGTAAATAATTGAGAGGATTGTGTTAGTATTGTTTAGCTTTATAGAATCAGATTTTTCTGAACAAGCATTATTTTCTGAACGGTTAAATCATTGGTGTGGATTTACAGAGGAGAAAGAAGTGTTGGTCTGTAGAAAGAAAGACAACCTAAGAACGAAACATAGCTTTAGCATGTATAGATATCTTTATTCCCTTACAAACACAAAGTACAATTCCTATCTTGTTGTTTTTTTCTACTTTTAAACTTTGAAAATATGCAAACAATTTTAAATTATTTTTGAAATAAAAGACTGAAAAAGAAAAATGATCGAAAAGCCATCACCCCATCCACGTTGCGGTCACAAAGTTTAAACCATGCATAAAGGGGTTAAGGAAACAATCGATGAAATGTTTAGACTTATATATATGTACATGTACATATTATGTATATTTTGTGTTATCACAACCTTTCCTTTGATCACATACAGTAAACACGAGAACGAAGAAGATAGAATATATGAAATCAAAATTAAAATCAAATGAAAACAGATTGATCGATGTGTACTACCAAATTGATATGTCTATTAATACCACTGAAACATTCTTAATTAGCTGTGATGCGTCATGCAGCAATGGATTAAAGGCTTCGTTAAAAGTGTAGGGTTCTAATAGGTTTAAGAAACTGTGGTCGTTAGGATGCCATTGTTTAACTTCAATATTCAAAAAACTGCAACATTTTACAAAAAACAGAACCAAACGGTTCTTCTTTTAAAAAATCGGACCATAGTAATTATTATTAATCTTTGGCTAATTGATCTCTGATTACAATATTATTGCAATTAAACGCAAAAAATTATTACGTTTAATCACAAAAGTATTTCATTTAATCGCAATATTATTGCGTTTAAACGCAAAAAGTATTGCGTTTAATCGCAAAATTATTGCGTTTAAACGCAATGAAAAATATCAATCGCAATCTTTTGCATTAAAACGCAATAAGTATTGCTATTAAACGCAATAATTATTGCGATTAAACGCAATAATTATTGCAATTAAACGCAATAAAATATATTTCTTTCTCTGAACTGGCCTCAACGGGCTTCAGTACCACGGATTCGTTTTGCATGTAACCATTTAAAAATAATTATAATTTTTTCATTACATTTCATTCAGATGTATTGTGAATCCGTGGATGCACGTCTCGTGGCAATAGACAACGAAGAAGAAAACAATTGGATTTTTGATCGAATGAAATACCATAAAGATGAAGGTGATTATTTTTAATATGTAATTGATTTACATAGTAACTGTTACGTATTTCTCAGCAAACACGTCATTTAGCTTACAGTTTACATATATGTATTATCTTTTCTAGCTAAATAATTTGATAATATATTTTATTTGCTGAAACGTTGAACAGGTGTTAAAATGCACTCTTTAATGAAGGAATTAATATTTACCGTTGTTTGATTACCAATTATTATTTTTAACAAGAAATGAAGAAATAATTAGTGGATATATATACACATATATGAAGAAAACTTCACAAAAAAGACAGGCCGATCTTTAATTGTGTAGAGTATGCACACTTCAAATTATGTATGAAATTCATATACAGTGTAAAAATACGTACATACATGAATAACTGTTTAACTCCTTAGTTAACGATTGGTGGACTGAAGGGTCAGATGAAGGGTCAGAGGGCACATGGTACTGGCACCATTCTAACAGTAGAATGATTTACACGGACTGGAATTTATATCTCGGTGAACCAAACGGAAAGCAGAGAGCAAACTGTTTATTGCTGAGATTAGAACTCAAGTGGATCGATTGTCCTTGTTCGTACGAGTCAAAGTTTATCTGTGAAAAATGAACAATTATGAAATGTAATTTTACAGAAGTAACAAGAAAATGAAATGTTGAGTGTTAAAAGACCATCTTTATTTGATACGATGACAAATTGACGATTTAGTAGTTTTATTTATAACTTTTGTGTCAATTTTTAATAAAGTGACACTCGGTCATTGGATTGAACTTAGTATGTTGTACAGAACTTGTTTCCCATCCTTTTGATTTTATCAATATAAAATATATTCAAATCAAGTATTATGCTGTGTAAGCTACCGTATAAATGAAATTTTAGCGAGAAGCAAATTTAGCGATTTGACCTTAAAAATTGGTATTTTAATTTTAGCGAACTTGAAATGTTCACTTTAGGAGGTATATCAACTTCCAAGCAATTTTAGCGATCTTAGCACCCTCACTAATAATACTAAAATTAAATTCTCGCTGAAAACTCTACCTATGCGGTATTTGAAAATGTTGCAGTCTTGATGGAATCTGGCAAATTATCATTTTGTTAATAACTTGAATAAATATAGAAGAAGGGGCATCCTCTCGAAAAGTGCATACCTATAAGGTGGCATTCAACATCAATCACGATAAAAATTACGTCACTTTCATTTTGCAAAGGACGGTGTTCAAATAAACACACTCACTCCCGATTGCGTTACTATATGACTGTATATCCCCTCCAATTTCATTGCAAGGGGATAGTAAAATGCACTTTTTAAGTCTTCACTGATGCAATAGAGAATAAACAACCCACATAGATGGACAGATTCAAGTTTCTTTTTCTTATAATGTAATGGCAATCGCGAATTCATGCATAATCAAAGAAAGATTCAACCATAAGCATTTAAACATAATTTCAACATTCATTAAGTAAAACCACAGCAATGTTCCATTATATTTATTTCTACTTATAATAATTAAAATTGTCGTGGTCAATCCTGTGACCTATGTAAACATGGTGACGTTTCTATATGAGTAAAAAGTATCGACGGGACGTAAACATCATGCAATTGATCAATTTACATACGAGTCAGAAATCTATAATTTTATTTCATTTATGTGGTTAGTGCAATAGCTATATAACTGATTTAATAAAACATTGTCTTAAATTGACTTTTCTCAATATGATTTATTATCTTCATCATAAATATCTACTCTGCTCTAATTTTTGCAAAATATAAAATAAAACTAATAGTCGTAAAAGGTCATTTATATATTTCAATACCATTAAAAATTTGAAATTAACCAAAACGTACAAAATTTACACAGCCCTGTATTTGAGTATATACAGTGTGCCCCTTATAACGATATAAATAAAATATACATAATGAACAAATACAGCTATTACTAAAACAACTTGCAAAAAATAGACAAAACAAAACAAAAATCCATGTCATTATGATTTTAAATGTACACCAACATAATATCCTGGGATTCATGGATAGTGTTTTTGAAATGGAGTATAGGAATGACCTTAAGCTTTGTGGGGAGAAACCAAGCATTGAGAAGGCAGAATAATAAAATCTAAGAAGTGCACGCGTTGTGGGTAGGTACAATCAAAAAGAAAGAAAAAACAATTTATTTCAAATGAAAGTCATGTTGCCGAAGGAATCTAAGTTTTAAGAGAACGGATCAATTTAAGCATTATGATAGAGATCAGGGTCATTTCATGCATCAGTAGATTTGGTGGCGGGGTGATGATGTGTGAGTTGAAGGCCAGGCCCAGTACAGAATCTAGCTATAGAGTAGGCGTGTCCGTCTTATTCCAAATTTATTGACAGTACATTCATTTTACGTTTCCATCTACATCCTTAATAAGGATGAAGTATTTTTCCATATCTATGATGTCTAATCTTCAGTCAAATGTAATCTAAGCTGTTGAATGTAATATTGATAACAGTATTTTGTTTGATTGAACTAAGGTGTCTAGCTTTCAGGTGATAACGAATTGATAAACATTTTTTTCGTTTGTTCGTTAATAGTTTGAGAGGATATGGGGCGTCATTCAATACTGTCTGTAAGCATACCCTTTCAAATTATTTTAAAAATCAGTAAAATAAATACTCGTTCATATACAGTATTGATTTAAGATAGAATTTGCCAATTTGTGTCTTGCAATTCAAAGTAATATGTTAATTTTTTTGTTTCTTACCATTCTTCTACCAATTTATTTGTATTACCGATACGGTGTCATGAAAAAAAAACAAAAAACATTTTAAATTGTATTTCTTAATAGATGATTGTCTTTTCATTAGACAGAACCTTGTTTAATAATGTTATAAAAATTTAAAGGTAAAGCTCCTTTAATAACTTACAATGCGATTTAGGAAGTAACTGGTTTAAGGTTCATAAACCCTCTGCTCACTCATATAAAATAATGCTTGAACCTTAACGATTTTCCAAAAGAAATATATTTTTTAAGTAAAATACCGACCAGTATAGCATAGTTTGCGGGGCAAAATTGGTCAAAAAAGACATTGCAACTTGGCAAATTTATAAAGGAATAATAGACATTTATGTAATTAAGAGTTATCTCTCTTTTCAGAGTATCAATGACCCTTAAGTGGTTAATAGAAGGTTTGCTTATAAATTATGTAAAACCAAGCGGATAGAAATTCCATACTTTCACAAACAAATAATAAATGTTTGATTATTTGGATAGGTAAAGTTGTCATTATACATCGCAAAAATGTTTACCCAGTGCTTTTTTTCCTTTTACAGATTATTTGTTACTGCATCATTATAGGTATGACAATAAAAAATCACGATGATATTACAGATGTATGAAATTAACAGAAATTTACTTAAAATGTTTCAATGAATTATTACACTGTATTTAAATTAATTGTTTTCGTTTTTCAAATCAGTAAATATAATTACCTTTACAAAAGGTACGTGAATCAGAAATAAACTTATAATAAGATTCCATCTTGAAAGACAATATGAATATGCACCTTTTTTTACAGGGAAAAGTAACTTACATGATATTTTTGTGATTGTCAATTTATTTGAAAATTATATGAAAATCATGTAAAATATTATAAAATCTTTTACATAATTACAGGATCCCCCTGTGGATTGCGTTTCACGTCTTATAATGGACAAATTACAAGTCCAAACTACCCTTCAAGTTATTCTAGTAATCTAGATTGTAAATGGACAATTGTTCAGCCATACGGATCAAGAAATTTTTCTGAGCATACGCGATTTTACCACTGAGTCATGCTGCGATAGACTGATAATTACCGATAGAAATACTGGACATCAAATAGCAAAGTAAGTAGTTTACATTCAGTATAATAAAATATAAATTTATTAGGTTTTTTCAACTGAAGTTTTATATATTTTCTGATCTAAATATGACTGTTTGTCTTTCTGTCTGTTGAATTTTTTGCATTGCAAATGCTTCTGAATCATCGGTTACACAAAGAAATTCTACTGTTTTCATTTTTAAGCGGTTAGCTTCGCTAACCGCTTTATGGCATGTGTCCGATTTTTATCGACACCGGAAACTTCCATAAGGCGCTATCTATCGACAACGGAAACTTCAACAAAGCCTCTACCTAGTACCTATGATTTGTTTCTAACACATATAACATATGTTAAATAAAATCAAGACTATCAAAAAACAAACATATTCTTTCGGTTTTTTCAAAATTTTTTCTGATTTTGTTTGTCAATGAATTTGTCAATGAAATAAATTTATAATTGTTGTATTAAAAAAAGTTTATGTATAGGAGCATTTGGTGTCGAGATTAAATTTCCGTGACATCAGCTGATGGCGATCGGGCCCTGTGACGAAATTCGAAGTCATCATGAAGTTTAGCTGATAACATTATCAACGCGTTAGATTTAAACTTTAGGAAGAAATGTACAGCGAGAAATATCATATTTGAACCCAGTGCTACACGAAAACCAGTAGGCATTTCCGATTTATGTGTTATATTGAAGCCTGAATCGAACAGGTGGTCAAAATGGCGTAGGACACCTTGTGTATTTATATATAGAGGGGGTAGATGTTTTGATATTTGGCTAATTTAGAGACTTACTGATAAAAATTCAGGTGCCTGTGATTAATTATAAGGCACATGAACAATAAATATTTGACCGAATTATGCTACTG